CCACATGATGTTCTTATGACCTGTGTGTGTGTGTGTGTGTGTGTGTGTGTGTGTATCTCCACATGATGTTCTTATGACCTGTGTAGCTTCCCCAGCCCAGGATTGGCGCGCCGGACCAGAACAAGGCTCCGATCCAGATGAAGATAACACACACGATCACAGTGGTGTTGGTTATGCAGTGCGCTGTGAACAAACACAACAGCAGCTCAGGTAAGAACACACTCGCTCAGGAAAGTGGCGTGGAGCTAAAGCTGTAATGTAGACGTCCCTGCCTTTACTCGGGTGGCATCCTTTAATGTATCTGGTGATGCTGATGACGGTGAGTGTGTTGATGCTGCCGAGACCGAACACCAGCGTGAAGAACCCGTCCACCTGAGGAACCAGCGGATAAACACATGCATCAAAACCAGTTCATCTGTCAATTCTATCATAACTATTGTCAATATGAGACAAATCTGCATCTTCACCTTCTTTCACTTCTTTTTGAGTCTGAGTTAGTTTCAAACATCTAGTTTTTGTCCTCAGAACAAAAATTCAATATGCAATAACATATTTTAGCAACGTCTCTAACAATTAAACACAATAAAACTACATCCATTTATTTTGCCCTCATAAAAGCATGTGGATGATCGGAATTACCTTTGACTCAACTAATGACAGACACAATTACAACATTAGTTAATGGCATTTTAATGGAGTCTCTATGAAATGCGAGAATGAATGGCTGTGTTTCCGCTGCGAGTGTGTGTGTGACAGAAACTTCTCCAATCACACCTCCACGTCTCTCTGAGACCGTCATTCATCAGCTTTCAGTCCAGAAGCCCTTAATGGGTTTAAATCACACTCGACACGGACACTGACCGACACGTTTCACACGACGGAATCAGAAAGATCTCGCATCCATTATTATCATCTGTAAAAACACCATATGATTTTAACACTTCAGCTGTTTTATAAAGCGAGTTCATCCATATAGTTATACTAGCTAGCGTATACATCATAAGGTCCAGGGGCCGGTTACATAAACTGCTAAAACTAGTCTTACAGGGTAGTCATTACTTTTTTAAGTTAGTTACATAAAAACGTAGATTGGTCTGATTTGATACTGAAAAGTAAGACTGATTACTAACTGCTAGTTGGTCATACTAGTTCTCAAGACACAATCTTAACATCATGGCAGTGTTTATGCAACTAGCCGCAGATCTCAGGCATTAAGTGCTCGTTTCCGTTCTCATGACAAACTCTTCAAAAGTTATGAGCAAAAACAGCCATTTTTCAGATCTCATGACCTGTAGGTGGCGCTGTTCCCAAATTTGGCATGGACCCTCAGAGCATGGTTCCGATGAAGCGTACCGAGTTTCATTTCGATTGATCAAAGTTTGGCCGAGATACAGCCTCTGAACCAATTTTGGGTCGACCTCGTTAAGTTCGTAACAACGTAACGTTTGATGAATAAATAAATTCTGTTCAGTTATTTCCATACGGCTCAGTCCAAAGATCATCTGTGCCAATTTTCGTAAGAATTGGAGAAGATTTGAAGGAGTAGTAGAAAAAATGTAAAACTGTGCTTTTCAAAATGGCCACCACAGTAATGGGCGGAGCCTTAATGTAAGATGATCGCGATCAGCGTGAAGAGAGGAATCAGGTGTACGAAGTTTAATTTTTCTAGAACAAAGGGTTCAAAAGTTATAACTGTTTCGGTAACACTTTATTTTGATGGTCCCTTTTGAACATTCAGTAACTTTGCAACTACATGCCAACTTATTCTAAGCCTACCAGTCTACTAATACTCTACTAATACTCTACTATTACTCTACTAATACTCTACTAATACTCTACTATTACTCTACTATTACTCTACTATTACTCTACTTATACTCTACTAATACTCTACTATTACTCTACTATTACTCTACTAATACTCTACTAATACTCTACTATTACTCTACTATTACTCTACAATTACTCTACTGTTACTCTACTAATACTCTACTATTACTCTACTAATACTCTACTAATACTCTACTATTACTCTACTGTTACTCTACTGTTACTCTACTAATACTCTACTATTACTCTACTAATACTCTACTAATACTGTACTATTACTCTACTATTACTCTACTATTACTCTACTATTACTCTACTAATACTCTACTAATACTCTACTATTACTCTACTAATACTCTACTAATACTCTACTAATACTCTACTATTACTCTACTATTACTCTACTAATACTCTACTAATACTCTACTATTACTCTACTATTACTCTACTATTACTCTACTAATACTCTACTATTACTCTACTATTACTCTACTAATACTCTACTATAACTCTACTAATACTCTACTATAACTCTACTAATGCTCTACTAATACTCTCCTATTACTCTACTAATACTCTACTATTAGTCTGCTATTACTCTACTAATACTCTACTATTAATCTACTAATACTCTACTAATACTCTACTAATACTTTACTAATACTCTACT